CCGCCCCTTACCTGGACCCTTCCTTCCTTCCTGACCACTGCCCTTCCCTTCACGAACCCCGCAGCACGACGAGGCCACCAGATCCCCTGTTTATTTTGGACACTTGATTCCCTTCTTTCTGGACACTTTGTTTATTTTCTGTTAATAAACGGTGTCTGTCGTTTGCTCCTCCTGCGACAACACACCCATTAACATAAACTACGACAGAGCACGTACACGCCTCACGCACAGGAAGTCATGCGTGTGCTCAAAGCAGTTGGTCATAGTGGTGTATTAGAGGTAAAAAATGATAGAAATACTGTTCGGTTTCTGGCACAACCCGATCGTTTCGTGTCTTAGGACATCAATGTGTTGTCACGAGCCGCAGGGTTTAATTTGGATTTGTCTGTGCATGTTTTTTTTACTCTCATAGATTTTGTTACCATTGCCATCCATTATAAGACTGATGGACTCCAACAGTTGGACTTAAAAATAATCAAATGTGTTCTACTGAAGAAACAAAGTCACCTACATCTTGGATGCCCTGGGGGTAAGCAGATAAACATCAAATTTTCATTTTTGGATGAACTATCCCTTTAATAATAGCGAGTAAGTTGTACTTGATATTAGAGCAGTAAAATTTACTTAAAATGTGTTTGTGCAATTTGTTACGAGGATTTTTTTAAGTAAATCTTACAAGTTTTTTTTTTTCAGTGTGCGGCAAAGCATTTTTGAGGGCTTTAGACTTTTCTCCATGAAGCTTTTAATTGCCTAATAAACTATATTTTACTGCACACATGACTGAGGTTGAATGAGATGGCTGTTTGTCTGTTAGTAACCATTATTTTTGTTTGATGTGTTGTTTTATAGATGTTTTGTTGTTTTAAATATAATTTTTTGATGATCTGCCATTGAAGATGTCATCACTAGCAGGCATTCATTTAGTCAGCGTCGAGTCTTCTGATGTGAGGCAAACAGTTCACAGTATTTCACATATTTACACAAGCATCAAAAACATTTTACACGGTTTAAGCAGCATTTTTACAGGCTCTTTTCTGTGTTGTTTTCATCGGGCTCAGCACTACTTGTGTGTCTTTTCTTGTGTTTTCCTACTGAAATAAACGTTTAGTGCAGCAGCAGTGATAATGTGAGGAAAATATGTTGAATTTATTTAGACCTGCGTGATATTATTTTTATTTTTTTTGCTTTTGTGTGTTAATTTGTTTGTTATATAAAGTGAAAAGTCAAAAGGTGTTTTCTGCTCTGTCCTAAAAGGCTTACTTCAGATGTGCTTGCGGTCTTGAGGACTTCAGAATTTTATTATACGTTTACATTAAGCACTGTAACAAGATGGATATGCAGAAGTAGTTATTTATTAGGATATCCAGTGTTGGTGGTAACGAAGTCCCTTCAGCTAACAAGTTTTGTTCCCAGAACGTTATTTTTTGGTTCCCGATGTGTTATTTTTTATGGTATGTGTTTGGTTGGTCAGGAAAGTCTTCTTAATGGAAGTAAAACTTTAGTTTTTGGTTTGTATATTGTTATTTTAAATACAATTTATTGTAATTTAAGGTTCCCATAACACAGGTATGACATTTCCTTAACCTCTTTACTACGATGTGATCATCCTGCTGTATGTCAGTAATCATCCTGCACACCCATGACCCAGTATACCCTGCTGAAACAAAACAAAACAATAGAAACCACAGAAATTCTAATGGTTCTACAAATACCATTACAAACATTACAAACCATCATATTTTAAAGAATGATTTTCTCTAGTGTGTTTTGGGACATATTCCATTAGGATTTAGTGGTTAGAAGGATAGAAGGTGACCAATTACCAGTAGAAACCCACAGGGTCCATTACAGTTTCCATTAAAACCAATACAAGT